GGCTCGTCGACGACACCAGGAGCCGACCCCAATCAACCAAATGGAGGCCCACCGACAGCACCAGGAGGCGATCCTAATCAACCAAATGGAGGCCCATCGATAGCACCAGGAGCCGACCCTAATCAACCCAACGAAGATCCAACAGTAGCTCAACATCCTAACATTCCATCGCCAGCACCGAACGTACCTGCCAGTGTTCCTCCAGTAGACTCAATTCCAGCTGTTGCATTGCCGCATCCAATCTCACACTGCGGTGGAAAACCAAAGATACCAATATTAAGTAAGAAATAATTTATTACGTTTAATACATGACTATAGACCAATAGGTTATGTGACCCTATAGGCATAAGTAAATCTCAATTATCATAGCGCACTAGCGCCCCATATGTGATGTTTTAACTGACTTCCAAGGTTACAAGGATCTTATGGCATTTTTAGAGTTGCCAGTCAGCAAAATTTCATACCCTCAGAAATTCTTACTACTAAACTATCATATATCCTAATAACTATAAACACTTCATAAATTGTTACAGCTTTATGTTTATTCAAGCTAATATGATATAAACTTTACATTTCTTGTTCAGAATTAATAATAACGAGTAATCTTTAGAAATCATCGTGCTCATAACTTTAAAATCAGTAAAATAAAACATGTTTTATTACATGTGATATTTTTTCCGGAAATTTGAAGATTATAAAAATGGCAACACTCACCCGTGCAGTCGCCGTTTCCTCATTGGTCAAAATATGACGCTCACATGACATTGTTAGATTGCAAAATTGCCAATTGCCATATGATCCAATAGGTTTATAATGGATACCAATTTTGCATTTTGGGTCAAAATTAACACGAACTTATACTATAAAATCGTGTTTATTTTCACTATGCGAGAACCAAAGAATAAAGTAAGTGGACACAGACAATCAAGCCAATAAACATCATAGATCAATCGATACCTAATACAGACTATAAATAATATACAAATTATTTCGTTTAGATTAATCGATTTAACAATTACTTAGCGTAAAAAGGCAGAAACATTTAATTTCAGGGGCACAATATATCACTGTTAAGTGAATTGGAGTAGGTATAAATGTGCGAATCTGTTACAGGTGGCAGACATATCGTTCACGGTGGTCTAGGAGCAGCACTCAATTTGGGTTTACAAGTTGGCGTTACTAAACGAGTTGGAGTCGGAGCTGTGCCATGCGCACACAAGATAATAAAACCCAAATTACCTTGCCATTAGGTAAAATGATTTAATCATCTATACTATTATAATAAAGCGTAACACACTTCTTTGTTGCCTAAGATGTCAGCAATTACAGCATATTTTTTAATAATTATTTTTTTAATAAAAGCCCTACACTTACGTCATGCTGTAGACTATATTTTCACGCCATTAAACTTAGGGGGGCAATGTTTTGGATAAAAGCCCTAATGTGGGAAAGACACCATAAGTTGCTGCCAACATCAAGAAAGAGAGATTGCTAAGGTTTGTCATGTGATGTCATTTTGACATTTGCTATTGATAATTTGACAAATGTAAACAATAAAATAGAATTTTCATAAATACATGCTGGTGAAGCCGCAAGGGAACAGCTAGTAAATACTTTAAAGATTTAAGGTTATAAGAATTGCGTAAACTAATAAAATCCATTGTAAGGGGGTATATTTAACAAGTTACATTATTTGCTGATCAGCATCAGTTGAAATTTCTGTCCGTGTCTAATTCTAGCATTATTACTAAATCAAGATTCTAATAATAACAATCCACTGATTTGTAGAAATGTATATGTCTTTGCATGATAATGACCGTTTTTGATTCGTTTCAAATTAAACACGCTTATAAATAATTAAATTCTTCGCTTCGCTTATAAAAAATTAAAAAGTTTTTTTTTTCAATTATGTATACCTATAACTGGATTTGTTATCATTCTTGTGTCTTATATGTTATTATGTAATTGTTCTATAACTTATCTGTTGGTGTACTTTATAAATAAATAAATAAATTCTTTATCTATAATTAGCTCTGTAACCATCACCAGAAGCCACCACCGTCAGCCCAAAGAATGCAAAAATCAATGAATTACTAAATAGAGAGGTTATGTCCATTTGTGGAGATCAATTACTAATTGCTAATTAACATCATAATGGTGAAAATTTATTAAATACCTTCATGCAGCAAATAAGTGATTACGTTTTTCGATTTGATTTTCTGTTTCAGATTCACGGTTCAAGTATAATTCACACTCTTCAGTAATTAAGTAACAATGTATTCAAAAATGTATTTTGTTCATTAAAATACGTTCCTGCAAAAAAGTTAATTGTTTATTTTTACTCCAAAATTCCTTAACCTCAAATGCAACATTATTTTTCATCGATACTAATCTATTTCTATACTCATGTTATGAAGAGGAAAGATTTGTTTTTTTTTTGTATCTTTGTATCTATAGGTATAACTTAAAAACTACTGGGCCGATTTTAACCGTTAGAAAGGTAACTTATCTGAGATCTGTGTGTCGGGCGAAGTCGCGAGCTACAGCTAGTCTATTTTGTTAGCTTTTTAACTATTTTGATATATTCTGTATTCTTAAAAAGTTATTTAATCTATTTATCAATACCAATTATCTTTATTTAAAACAACAATAATGTTAATATTAGGAAACAGAAGATATAGTGGGGGGTGGTTTTATAAAATACATGGCAAAGAGTAGCTCGGGGGCTCAGTCACAGTCTCGGCGCTCAGTCTAGTTTCTAGTGATCACCACGGAACGTTCGATATATATGCGGTGTCACATTGGGAGTTCAGTTTGTGTGTTTTAAAGTAATTTACAAGTATTGTTAGTATGGTCGTCCATCTATATTTTAAAGGAAATCATTTGTGTCGAAATATCTAACAATTTGCATGTATATCTATACTTTTTACTCGTAAAAATAATAAGCGTAAACACACACCGCTTAGTTATATAGGATATCAGCAATCACAGCATATTTTTTAATAATTTCTCTTTTAAAAAAAAGCCCTATACTTACGACACGCCTTAGGATATACACATTGACGCTATTATACTAACTAAAATATGAGATAACAGTATTAAAATAAGATAAAATAGTTAGTTAGTTAATGAAAATGTAATAAATGGTAAATTCAAGAAAATTCGGCACGAATTTTCCAATAAAATTATTAAAGTTCTCTACTCTCGAAATGGTTACATACTCTATGAAATGTGTTATTGACACAGATGTCAAAATTTTGTGGCGCGGAAAAAGAAATCTAACAATCGGTATTATTGTTTTATTTACTCAGCTGTATATTAAAGAAAATCATTTTATTATGTTACAAGATTTCATGTTAAAATTATTTCAAGTATTTAAATTACTTTTGGTCTTACAAAACGGAGACTTTATTTTTTGGAAAGATATCAGAAGGAAGGAGGATTTAATATCTATTTCTACCTATAATTTATAAATCATCATCAATCTGCCCTATCTACTTTGCTACATTTTTAAGAGCTTTTATAGCGCGCGTTATAGTTTGTATAAACAGGATGATGCGAGACTGTCTCGCAGATTGTGCTCCCCTTTATGTCCAGCGCCCTGGGCGTTCGCTTAACCGAGGCGTCCACATCGGCCACATACAATAGTAATTAATCTATTTCCTTCTGTCATCGCTTCACACTAGAAAGAAAAGGTCAGGGGAAGGTTCATGTTAAAGGAAAAAGTTGAGTGGAACTTCACTATCGTATAATACTATTTATCTATACTATTATAATAAAGCGTAAACACACACTTCTTTGTTGCCTAAGATGTCAGCAATTACAGCATATTTTTGAATAATAATTTTTTTAATAAAAAGCCCTACACTTACGTCACGCTTCAGGCTATATATTTTTACGCCGTTATACTTAGGGGTAAATATTTTGGATAAAAGCCCTAATGTGGGAAAGAGACCATAAGTCGCTGCCAACATCAAGGAAGCAAGGTTGCTATGGTTTGACATCATGCCGTGTCATTTTGACATTTGCTATTGATAATTTGACAAATGTGAACAATAAAATGAAATTTTTATAATTCTATGCGGATGAAGTCGCATGGGAACAGTGCTTAAATAAATAGACAAAATAAATAGTTTGCAAAAATTTATTTCACTTTTTCAATTACGTCGTAACTTTAAAAACATTGTTTAAATCATTTAACTATGAAGAAATCTTGAGTGTTATCCTTGAATCTGAAAAAAAGGAAACAAAACAGGTAATTTTTTTATAACCTAATTTATCTGATTAAAAGGATCTTTTATGTTATTTTTATAAAAATATAAACCATACTGTTCTACCTTACTTAATTACTAATATTATAAATTGATTAAGTTCGTATTTAAACTCTACTATAGTGTGTCTAAATAAAATAGATTAGTTTGACAATTCATTTGATATTTAGTAGAGATGGGTAGAAAAAAATTAGTTATAAATCTTATCGATTTTCGATTTTTATTCTTATAGTTGGAATCGATAGATTCATAGTTATAACTTATGGATTAAAAAACACTGTTTTCTCAAATCATAATGACCTGCAGAACTATTACAAATAAGGAGAGTAAATAAATATTTATTACTACTACAGCCGTACGTAATAGAATTGGATTTCGCTATTATTTCTGTCATCGCAAATTTTTTTACACTATAATCAATGCTAGAATTGTCCTTTCAAATTAGTAAATAAGAAAATAATATTTTTTTGTTGAGTTCGATAAATGTTTAAACTGAATATCGATACTTTGTAATTATTCGCTATGTGTGTTTGTTTCGTCACTATGATACCTGTGTATTAAGTACGGCATTTGCCTTCATACAAATTGAATTAGATACTTCATATGCGTCATTTATCAAACTAATCTATATTATTTAGACAAACTATAATTCAGGTTTATTGTTATTTAGGAATTATATTAATAAGCAAGCCGTCGCCCGCAAACTTCTTTAGCGCGGAATTAATAAAAAGGTATTTTAAAACATTCCCGCGTGCATCTGCTATCCGAAGACCTGTCAAAATCGGTCCAGAGATGGAAGTCGGTCGTCATCTTGTCAGCGCGCAATTAAAAAATAGCGTAGTTCTATTATGCCCGTCCATATCAGCTACTCTCTAGTGAAAGTCCCGTCAAAATCAGCTCGGACTTGTCCGAGATAAATAAAAAGTATTAATTCGTGAAACGATAACTTTGTTAGTCTATATCTATACTATTATAAAGAGGAAAGATTTGTATATTTGTATGTATTGAAATAACTCAAAAACTACTGGACCGATTTAAAAAATTCTTTCACCATCAGAAAGGTAATTTATCTGTGAGTAATATATTTAATTATTACTTATGTTTAGGAACTATTAATAAACAGTGTTTTTCTGGACGCCGGCGTTAAAAATTCACTAAACTTTAACTTTTCTCGGCTTACGCTGCCTAAACCGTTAGAGGTATATAAAAATGATGTATGAAAGAATTGTACATCTCAAAAAGTTTTACAGAAAAGTCCGCGATAGCATATATCTTTCTTTAACGGTTTTCTTACAATAACCACTTTTTGTTTACAAATAGAATTAAGAACCGCACGCTATTTGCGGCGTTCTTTTATCGGTTTTAATATTAATCCTTATCCAAATAAATACATTTATTATCAGGAGAATTTGATGTAGAATAAAATTGTCCTTTACAGTATTTAAATTGGACTAATAGTTTAGAAGATATCGCGAACACAAACAATCAGGGTAACTGTAAAAATCAGCTTACAAGCTACCGGGCTTAGAAATTTGGAATCTTGCATCGGTAGGTTTCTGTTATTACGTAGATTACTACTAAGTTAATATTTTTGGTAATAGGTTGAAAAAAGGGGCGAACAAGTTTTGAACTTTCAAATTTCACGCGGACGAAGTCGCGGGCAACAGATAGTCAGTTATATGTTTAAATTTTGCATTGTATTGTTTGTATTGTACCTTTGTGTACTGTTGTTTACCATGGTACGACTTCGGATGGACCATTAGGTACGATTTGGGCTGGAGCGTTGGGTACGACTTGGGCTGGAGCGTTGGGTACGACTTGGGCTGGAGCGTTGGGTACGACATCGGCTGGAGCGTTGGGTACGACGTCGGCTGGAGCATTTGGTGCATTTGGAGTGCATGGTACGGCCGGAGTTTCCGGTACAGCTGGAGTGTTTGGTACAGCTGGAGTGTTTGGTACAGCTGGAGTGTTTGGTACTGTTGGTACATTCGGTACTCCCGCGTTACCAGGATCACTGCAGTCGCCGAGGCCAGCAATTAACGCCGCACCGATTTTAAGACCGTAACCTGTATCACAATCTTGATATAATAATTGTTTTAACCGTAATTACATAACCTTCAATTCAATTATAATAAAAAAAATGTTGTTTTCTTTTTAATATCACATGGTAAAACAGGCAAGCTGCCACCTGAATCCGCCAACATGGCGAAGCGACCCCTATCCATAGACATTTGGAATAGTCTATCCTTAATAGACGGAGGAGAAGACGCACATAGACAGGATAGTTCTCTTCCCTATGCGTCTCCACCACCGTCAAATCCACGTTCCCTTTCCATCCTATTCTAATGTGAGAAAAAGGATGGAAAAGAAAGGGACTAAAGTTGGTCTCCGTCACCACACTCGTCAGACGTAACGCGGAATTGCTCCCACTTCACGCCTGTCTTCTGTTTGGTCGTTGTATTTCCCGGGCGAGCCGGCCCATTTGTGCAAAGATGTTAAAGCGGGCTCTACCAAAATATTCTATTGGTGACCTGCAGATCAGCTCAATATACCTATGTGATGAAGATCAGTCATCTGGCTCCCAGATCAGTTTAATTTATGACTGCCAGTTCAGATTTACGACTCACCTGGGAGATGAAAGCTAAAAGCTATAATTTTGATAACGGATAGTCATAGTGATTCGATCAATACCAATTTTAGCTCTAGTGATGTGCGATTCTACGCCCCCCCATTTTGCTGAGCTTCGAGGTCTTTATGTGGCACTTCACTTTAGAGCCCTGGGCGGTCTCAACCGCTCCCTACATTAATGCCGGCACTTGTCATTTCGGAAACTTTCATCCAACAATCAAAATACAATTCAAATCTTCCGATTGAATTTTGCATCCTTTAGGCTTAATTATTAATAATTAATAATTTATGTGTAAAAATATAACTTACCACTGGGCACTGAAACAGAAAAAGTAAACATTAGTGTTACAAAAACTTTTTAATAAAAAAACAAAACCGACTTCCAAACAAAATACACGAAAAACAAAACAAAATGCACTAAAAACAAAACAAAATAC